ACTCTGACTTAAACTATTTTAATCAGCCGTAATTGAGAATGATTATTACAAAGGAAAAAAGAGGACTGTTTGCTCAAAAGTTATCACATATCTTATGAGTGCAAAACAATACAAATAATCACGGGAAAATCATAGCAAATCGTAATAATCCATTGGACCAAATGGAAGAAACGAAAATAAGTACTCAGAATTAGGGGGAGAAACATTAAAAGCCTTTATTGATAATATTTGTTTGGTCTGCCTCTCCATGAAGAGGTTCAGAGCCTTACAGTGGTGTTTTTCTCTTCCCATAAGATGGGTATATTTTTCCCTTCTCTCTCCTGTCTATAGTAGCGAAGAAAACAGCCCCCCTTTCTAGGGTCCCTTCTCTTGGTATTTATAGCTGTGGGCTTCGTGAGCTGGCAATAAGTGGCCGTGACCACGTTGAGATCTCGCCTCTATAGTGGCGGATAGGCCAGGGCCTTGTTGACCGAGCCAGAGGCGGGTTGAACGTCGTCAATTCTGAGTGGTCGTTCCACTAATTAATCATGAATTAACTTAAAACGGGATTAGCCTCGTTAATTATCGTGGGGTTGGATTCTGACCCATACAGGGACCTATGTTTTTATTTTCTTTGACTACCGGGCGAGCACAGGCACATTGACTAGTTTAATATAAGGAAAAAGGGAGATTTTTTGAAGTTTGTGAATTTAAATACTAAAGATTAAGTTTCAAAGCCGTAAAGTTTCATATCCTTAATTTTTCTCTATTAAATAAGGGATAGGAGAAAAGACGAGCCAATTACTCAAATGGTCACTCAACTATCTCAAATTATCTTTTAAAGTTACTTTTCTTTCGTTTGTAACAACAAAGTCGTTGAACTATGCCTATTGCACTCAGAAGGTCACTTAACTAGATTTTCCAAATTTTGGATTGTCAAATACCTATTTTACCCCTAAATTATAAATATTTATCTTTTTTTATTTTTTTAACTTTTAGTATTATGATTTACCATTTTTAATTTATATTATGGACTTACCTATATAATAAATAAATATTATTCATAAATTTAAAAAATAAAATGTATTTAAGCATCTATAATACTAGAATAACAAAATAATGAGAATAGTAAAAATAATTAATTAGTAATTTGTTCGTAATAATATATTTTATTATTAACAACTAAAATTCTAAAAATTATTTACACGATTCAGAATGAAAGAAAATAAAGAATGTAAAAATATAAATTTCATGCACGTAATATAAAAATAATTATTTAAATAAAAGTATTTTTTATAATATACATTATATATTCTTGAAAATTATGCTCAATTATATTATATATATTCCATGAACAACTTAACATAGCATATTTTACCCTATACAGATAGTCCCCATGCTTTCAGGTGACATAATTTTGTGTCGTCGGAAAGTTGGTAGAAACATAATAATATAATTTAGCATAATTTTCAAGAATATACAATGTATATTATAAAAATACCTTTATTTAAATAGTTATTTTTATATTACGTGCATGAAATATATATTTTACAACCTTTATTTTCTTTCATTCTGAATTGTGTAAATAATTTTTTGTATTTTTGTTGTTAATACTACAATTTTTATTACTAACAAATTATCCTAATTAATTTTTTTACTATGCTCATTATTTTGTTATTCCAGCATTATATATGCTTAAATACTTTGTATTTTTTTAATTTATAAATAATACTTATTTATTCTATAGGTAAGCCAAAAATATAAATTAAAAAGGGAAAATCATAATATTAAAAAGTTTAAAGAAAATAAATGTTTATAATTTAGAGGGTAAAATAGGTATTTGGCAATCCAAAATTTGTAAAATCTAGTTGAGTGACCTCCTGAGTGCGATAGGCATACTTCAATGACTTTGTTGTTACAAACGAAAGTAACGTGACTTTAGGAGATAATTTGGGATAGTTGAGTGACCATTTGAGTAATGGACTCGAGAAAAGGCAGAGGATGGGATAGTGAGAATTTAACGGGTCAATTGGTTTTGTGTCTCATTACAGACTTGTATTTAGTTTTATGACTCAATTTTTTTTTTACACATGGGAGATTTGCTTTTACACATGAGAGATCTATCTTTTACACGTAAGAGATTTAAAAAAAGATATTTTCTTAAATTCAACATTGTAAAAAGTCATAAAAGCCTAAAACCCGAATTTTTTAACCAATACCTATTTTGCGAGAAACACTAAATAAGACGTTGATTTCATTGATTCTGCTGATACAAGAACATGGTCATAATGTGTTTCTTATTGTCCTCATGTAATAAGAACATGGTCAAAACATTCACCTCGGTAGTCATATATTTAAAAAAGGTGCAATTCTTCTTTAAGAGAGAAGTGTTATTAAATTACCACCGATAAGAGGAACCCCCTTCTCATTAAAGGTTGTCACAGCTATTAACAGTGGGGCCAAAAATGAAATTCAAAGACATTGAAGTAGAAGTAATTTCCATTGTTTTTCTAAGTAATTATGAAAGCGATGGCGGTACATTTCATCTTGATTTAAATAATGGGATTGTAGGTAGGCCACCCAAGGAGCGGTCGCCCTTACATTAAAGAAGACACATGGTACAGCAATTCAAATAGTAACATGTTCAAATTTTTTTCCCTTTCGAAATAATTATGTACTACTCCCTTCGGTCCAAATTCACCTTTTAGCGTTAATAAGCAATGAAATTGACCATATTAACCTTTACTATCTCACATAAACCTCCTAACACATATTCCAACACAATTTACTCCAAGGACAATGTAGGAAAAAAATAATTAATTTATTTTTGAAATCTGAAAAAATCACTTATTTTGGTCCACAAAAAAAAAGTCAAAAAATCACTTATTTTGGATCGGAGGGAGTACTATATTGTATGTTTGGTGTGAGTTGTGACAGTAAATTCTCGTTGGTAAGAATGTTTTTGTCGAGCTAGAAAGGGCTTTTGAGTTTTGACTTTTGGATTGCTTGTTCAGTGTTTATTTATGATTTCTGTATATAGATTAAGGACATTAAATTTCTGTATCATTTATCTCTGTTTTAAATATCTCAATTAATTCAACATCAGTAATTAGAGCAGGAATGGTGATTTTGTAAAATATTACTTTTTTAAAATATCGATATTTTGGAACAAATTCAATTTGGCAAACACAAATATTTAGAACCGGAGGGAGTATGATACGTTTTTAGCACTTAATCCTTCCATCTAAACCTTGGTTGTACTTCATATGAAGCATGAAATGTTAATAAATCTTTCAAAAAGTCAAATGAGGTCTAAATATGTTTTCTCATCAAGGAAGAAAAGATTGAGGTAAGATTCAACGATGGTTTTGCACTACTTTTAGTGTTTGTATTAAATTCGACAAAGAGTTTGGTAATCGAAAAAGTTGAAATTCCATGTGTAGTTATGAAATTGCGATTTATATCATGCTCTTCATAGTTTGTGTTGATTTCACTATGTTTAATGTCATTTTAATCCGATAATAATTCTTCAGATATTACACGGCTACAAACTTAATGGCATTAACACTTTTGTTTTACCAACTACGGCATTTAATCATATCGGTGGGAGTTGGACGAAGAACAGGACTACTACTGGGAGTATTAAATAGAGTTGAATACCTTGGGTTAAAGCGTTTTATAGTTCACAATCATTCTAATTAAGTCTCATCAGCCACTCTATCTTTTATGTTAAGCTAGCACTAGTATATATATATTGTATATAGAAAGAGAAAGCATGCTACAGTCCACAATCAAAATAATAAAAGGGAATTTTTTAAAAATAAATAAAAATTGTTCGCATGAGGATGTCTTTGACCACACCCACTTTGAGTGTGATGTGAAGTTAAAATTACTAAAATATAACTCCAATTTTATAACTCTATAATAATAATAATAAGAAGGAGGAGGAGGAGGTGGTCTAGTACAGGAGCGCATCCCTCGCTCAACAGGGCTGAACCGAATTAGTTGAGCTAGTAGGTTACTAAAGACTAGATGCTCAAAGGGCAGTCCGATGGACAGAGCATTCCGTATTCATGCAGTTTGTATAGGGTCAAATTTGACCGTCAGCATCTCTACGCCAGTGGGTACGCCCAGTGAGTGTACGCCGACTAACGTAGCGGGTACGACTTGGACGTGGGAACAAAAGCGACATCGTTTAGGACTCAGTGTCTTCACTAGGGAGACGTTACCTGTCTTTGTAACTTTTTGATTCTTTCGAGGAAGGTCTCTTATTATATAAAGGAGACCTTCACATTGTAAAGAGGAGGATTCTGGAATAATACAACTCTCTCATTTTCTGGCTTTCTCTCTCTATCTCTACCTCAAACGAACATATTCTATTGAGTTCATATTATCACTTTGCAATACTATATCTACAACAATAACATCATCTTTACATCTCTAGGTTTATTATATTTGATTACGATTTACCCTTTTCTTACTTTTGATTGTTTTCTAGCTTACAAAGTATATTGTTAACTTTTGAGCCAAACACAGCTTTCGGAGAGGAGCTGGACCCCAAGGGATATTATGTAGACAACCTACCCTAACGCAAGCATTAGTAGTTGATTACACGGCTTGAACCCGTAAACTTTACCGTTAATCCAAGACAATTGTAAAGTGGACAATTTAGATACTCAAACAAGAAAAATCTTTTTTGCAATTTAGTGCACAATTCATATCGCAGTTCACGGTTTTATTGTCGCTGTTGTTTACATGGACCTTTTTGTAGTTCATCTTTAGTATGTAGAAAAAACCTCACATGCCAAAATTATTTCCAGAAAAAAATAATAATATTAGGTTTTGGACTAAGACTAGTGTTAAATTAAATAATGTTAACGGGAGCAGAGAATCTAGATAATCCACCTCAAAAACAGTTCCTAGGCACAGAATAAGGTTTTCCAAGCACAAGCAAACAGGTACTTTAGGCAGCCATATATATATTTAATAAATTCACGGGCATGTAGTTTCAAAGTAACTGCACACAATGTAGGGTAGGTGTCTCTTTCCAAAGTCTGTGATCCAATGCCCCTTCACCTTTTCTTTCCAATTAGCCCCTTAACACACTGCAATTCACATGTATTCTCAACCACCTCCAACTATTCAAATTTAAACCTCTCCTCAATTTTTCTTCAAAATACAGGGAGGGACCTTGGAATCTTTTTTTTTTTTTTCTGTTAAAGTAATTGGCATTGTAGTATAGAGCGGACAAAGTCAAGATTCACCAGCTATTTTCTACTATGTGGGATCTGGGCTTCTTTCTTTTTTTGACTAAAGATAATGTAGGTGGAGAGCAGTTAATGAGTTCATGGGTTGTTTAATTAGGTTCTTGAATGTGTCTATCTGAGGCTTCGTTTCATCATTTTCATTTGGGTTTGCTCTTTTAGAGGTCTGAAGGTGAAACAATCAATTTTTGATCATTTTGAGGCAACAACTCAGGTACTTCATATGTACTAACATTTGGAGACTTGTTTTTACTGCTTTTTGTGTCTTGTAGATTTGTTATTCAAATGTTCAGATCCATTGCCTTCTTAATCTTTGTTTTCTTTAATTTATCAAAAGTTGCTTTAGGACAATGTCTTTAATTTGAATATTTCAGAATTTGTTCAAAATTTGGTACGTTTGATATTTGTTAATTAGTTATATATAGACGGCAAGTAATTCTTTGCTTTCAGTGACTTCAAGCTAAGAAAGACTTGTGTCCAGAGATATACTACTAGTTTATGTGCGTTGTACATTCGGCAAATTCTACTAGTATAAACTTGTTTAAGTTGCTGACTTGTTCTTGTGAATTATTTTGATTAATAGAATATGCCTCAAGACAGTCTGAGATCAGCTGTATACAGATCCTTTGTGACATGTGATGACCCGAAAGGTGTTGTGGAATGTAATACAATTAGAAAATCCAAGATTGACAATCCAAAGATGGAAGGAAAACAAAGAACATGCAGCCATTTGAATGTGTCTTCATCGTCATCGGTCTGCAAAGGAATGGCGACAGATGAGTTATATTCCTCATCTTCCATCCAGCTAATGGAGGTGTCCAGAGAAGCTCAAAAGCTGAACCAAGTGATTGACTCATGGTCTAAGGGTATCACCTTTGAAACGCATTCTAAAGATATCGCCAAAGATTTGTTGAAAGGAGCTCTTGATTTACAGGAGTCACTAGTGATGCTAGGAAAGCTGCAAGAAGCTTCACAACATATGGCTAAGTTGAAGAAAAATCAGAAAGATGGAATATGCATTGGAAGGACCAAGTCCGAGAGGATTTCAGATCACAGGTTTAATAGGCTTGAGTTTCAGAAACCAAGATTTTCTGTTGATGGGGCTTCCCAAGATTGTTTTGATGAGCTAAGGGAAGTGATAAGAGACAGCTTTGCGAGACAAAATCTGTTGCCACCAACTTGTGCTTCAGAATATGATGGAAGGAAAGTGGAATTATCTCCAGATCTCCCCTTTACCAGCTTCACTAGCTCAAGTGACTCCTCCTTTGAAAAGGCTAGTGTTGGTAGAAGTAAAATGATTACATCATCGGATGTCCCATCAACTAGCTCAAGCCAGTCACCCATGGTTCAATCCCAAGAGGTTAGCTCTTCTGGTTATTCTCCACCTAAGGTTCAGCAGGAAAAGCCACACGGGCCAAATTTAATTGCCAGACTGATGGGTCTTGAAGAGATTCCTAGAAAGAACGAAAAGGTTATCAAGCAGAGCAGACCTATATTTGAAATAGATTTGCCAAAGGCAAAGAAGCCAACATCCATCGCTCAGAAGGTGGATGCAGAAAGAAGAACATTGGATGAAATTATTGAAACCATGCATTTCAAGGGGCTTTTGAGAAGAAAGTCTAATCATGGAACTCCTCAATTATTAAATAAGTTTGTTGATGATTCTCCACCCATTGTGATCATGAAGCCTCTGTATGCTCTAGACTCGCAGACTGAAAGGTTTCCTCCCTGTAACCATGAAGAAAATCCATCAGGCAATAGAAACACAACTGGAAAATGGGATGTAAAAGAAGAAACTTCACCTGAAAACTCTGATGATAAGAAGGGAGCATTGACTTCCACCATATATAGGAAATTGCAGACAGGAAAATATCAAAATAATAGATTCAGTGAAGGAAAAGGGTGCAATGATCATAGTGAAGCACCTGCAAAATCAAAGAATCTTGATGTTCTGGTTCATCGAAAGCAGCCTAATTATACAAAGATTAGAGCTTCTTCTCCTGGCAAGTATCGTGGTGCAAAATCAAAGACTCTTGATGTTCTGCTTCACGGAAAACAGCCTAATAATACCAAGACTAGAGCTTCTTCTCCTGGCAAGTATCGTGGAGCAAAATCAAAGACTCTTGATGTTCTGAGTCAAGAAAAACAGCCTAATACAAAGTTCAGAGCTTCTTCTCCTGGCAAGGATCGTGGTGAAGTACCTGCAAATTCAAAGACTCTTGAAGTTGTGATTCAGGAAAAACAGCCTAATACAAGGACTAGAGCTTCTTCTCCTGGAAAGACCCTGCAACCAAAGAAAGAAGCAATTGAAAAAAGAGAGGACGGGAATCAACGAGTAGCTCCTGCTATTAGAAAATCTAAAGAAATGAAAAATGTCAAAATCAACGACAGTGCTAAATTTCAGGACCAAGGCAAGATGAGCACTATGAAAGTGAGAAAACCCGAGAGAAATCAACTGGTTGCACAAGCAAAAAGTACTATATCAGATCCCACCTCGAAGCGCATAACAACCACTGCATCTGATAACTCCAGTAAGAGGAAGAAGAATGTTAAAGCTGACAAGTCCGTCAAGAGTACCCCCATTGCTACAGTGAGTACATAGTTATAACTGATATTTTCGAGCCTTCTTTCTTCTGGAAGCTATGGTTCTCATCTCACGTTATTATTTATTGTCCAATTTCCTTTTTCTAACACAGAATTAAGGGACACTGTTCTGTAGATGTTGGTCCTTCTGTGGAAATTAACTTAGGAGGATTTTTCTAGTATGGGCCCAGACTAATGAAATGTATTGATACAGGTTGACAACACGGAACACAAGGATAAAAATGTTGAAATGGTGCAGGCAGCGGAGAAAGACACAGATATAGCCATAACCAAAGTGACATCCTCAGAAGAGCTTCAGTTAGAAGAAGTGGCTGATATCTTTGAGAATCTTGTCATCGGTAAGGCACTTATTTCATTATTTTGCCAGTTTCATGCAATTGTTCAGGTTATATTAGAACATGTTGTTTGCAATTATTCATCATACATAGGCTTTCAAGTAACTATTTCCTGGGAATAACCTTAAGTGTTGCAATGTAGTTAGATATATATATATATATCCCAGACATCGTTCAACAAACAAGAATGATGATATTAGCTACATATATATCCAAGAGACCAAACATACAGAGTGTTTATATTCTTCATTTGCAGCTTAGAATATCTGTTTTCTTCTTTTCGGCGAACTAATATATGCGAAAATACTCCATTTCAAAAAAATATATGCGACAATACTGTATACTGTTTAGTAGACACGCAGCAGCTGCATATAACCAAAAAATTAATCGAAAGATCTTGTGGACTCAAAAGCTTCCATAAAATCTATATATATATATATCTGATATTCTTGAGAAACCATATAAAGTTGTTTTCTAGTAAAACATATGGATTTTTGTATATTGATTACTGTCTTTGTGGGTGAAAGTTCCAAAACTTGTAAAGAGATCAAGGGTTGGAAAATCTGCAAGCAGTAATTGAAGTAGTCTAATGCACTTCAACCTTTGCCAGCCAGACACACAAAAGGTTGTAATAATTATAGTTCCTCAAGAAAAAGCTTTGGTCAATGGTAGCCACTGTTTGCCATGTACATATTTACCTCTTTCTTGTTCCATCCGTTCAAGAACCATGATAGACAGATGACAATCTGAAAAGCTGATACACATGGAAAAGCTACTTGTGGTCATCAGTCAGGCTCCAATTTTCCTTTAGTGAGATTTATCTGTTGGCTTAGTGAAAAAATTCTAATAAAATATAATACTTCTTCTATTGCAGATAACATTGCCAATGGTGAAAGCTTCCCTTGTGAATCTAGCGGGCGATTAGCGGAGCATGCTAACTGTAACATCGATCTAGACTTCACTGAGAATGAAAACTTCAACTCCAGAGCCACTACAAGGTATTTACTGTTTAGCAGTGAATCATTCCTCTGTCGGTCCGAGGAACTTTTTGAAACAGATGCATGGGAACCAACTGTATGGCAGATAACAAGTGTAGATCATGAAATCGCTGATAGCAGACTCTTACTTGATTGTGCAAATGAGTTGTTAGAAAATAGAAGGTCTCAATGTGCACTGGCAGTTGATCCATTATCACTGAAGATGCGAAAAATTCCTACATCTTTTGACAAGTTGGTGAATGAAATTTGTGACGGGATTGAAGTTTTGCGAAGTTACCATAAGGTTGCTGGGAAGAACCTTTCAGCAGATGCTCTTCATCCACTGCTAGAAAGAGATCTATGGTGTAAGGGAGTGGTTAGCAGTGCATGGGATTTGGGTTGGAGAAATGGATTAACTAATAATGAAGTCGAACAAGTAGTGACTGATATTGAGAAGTATCTTTTATCTGGATTTATCGATGATGTATTGACTGACTTCATGCTATAGCACTAGTACATATTCACGTTGACGATTTAGGAGCTTGACTTGTATAATCTGTAAATAAGATAGACGAGTTGGAAAAGGTCTTGAAGAAGCTGGGGTTTCAGAATAACATGAAGTTTACTAGCTCAAATTACATTGTAATGCTGAGTTGATATTGAATTTATACATTTATTGCTGATATAGTTTTACAAATCCAGATATCATTTGTTTTTACAACTCCACAAATGATCTCCTTCAATTGGTAGTATTTTTGCTATTGAAGTGCATCTTCCTGATCCACAAGTATGGACTCTTTCTATTGCTTAATTCACTTCAAAGTAATATGCAAGAAATAGTTAAGAATGCTGCACTTTACTCAAAATAACATTTAGGGGTCGTTTGATAGGAAGTATTAGGAAAAATAAAATATGTATTAATTTTGCTATTATTAATTCCTTGTTTGGTAGTATTTTTCAACCTATGATTAACTAATACCTGTATTAGTTATACATCTTATCCAACACTATTCTTATACATAGCAAACAATTACATTAGTAATGTCATTATTTTTAATACATGGATAAGCATATATAAAGATAGAACTGCTCTTCTAAAAAAAAAAAATCATATCCTTTCCAATGAATGTAGAGTGTATATTTGTAAATAACCAAATATTTAAAGAAATTATGCAATGCATGTTATATTTAATACACCAAAACAAACCATCGATAAGAAATAATTTTATCATAACTGATCTCAGTATAATTAATTCAACCATTACTAATTTCAACATTACTAATACATCGTACAATTCTTATACACCTTACCAAACGAAACGACCCCTAAGTGCCACTACTCATCGACATCAAAGTTCCATACCTTTTAATCAGATGTACCATGGAATGATCACACACAACACACAATAGGGGCCCACCTTAAATTGTAAATTTGAAGAACAAAAATTGAAGACACAAGCTAAAGCATAAAGCAAGTTAACTACCTTAGACATAGATGAATGGTGTAGTTGAAACATCAAAAGAACCATACAGGAAGGAAGAGGTACTTCCCCTCAAACATACCATTTTCTCTTTTTATGGGAATTGGTAAGGAACCAGTAAAAGTTGAAAAAGACCTAGTACTACTTACTGGCATCTTTTAACTTGAAAAGAACCAGAATACCCAACACATACTACTTACTGTATATTGGGCATAATTCCTGCTGATCAGTTAGCCACTATTTATGTGCAAAGGCAAACCATTTCAGCTATAGTCCACCCACTAACTAGCTATAACACCTACTCGAATGATCCGTCAACTATCAGCTTTCTTTATCTCATGTTTTCATCTGCAACTTAATCAAATCACACAACCAAGAGGAACTGGGTCTGTCAAAACTACCTTGATCATGCATTTAGGGTGTGTTTGGTACCAAGGAAAATATTTTCATGTTTGGTTGGCTTAAATGTTTTGGAAAATATTTTGCTCATGAACTCATTGGAGGAAAATATTTTCCCTATTGAAAGAAGGGAAAATATTTTTTTTCACATTCTCCACCCTATTCCACATCCCTACCAACCCACAACAACCCACCTCCACCTGTATTGGTAAAAGAAAAAAAAGGCATGACACGTGGATTAATAGTATGATGACAGGTGTCATCCATATGAGGTCAATAAAGAAAGATGGTAAGGCACGGATAAAATACGCACGGTATTTTATCAAAAAAGGTACCATACCTGACAACTGTAAAAGAAAAAATAGGCACGAGATGCATGAAAACCATAAGAGGGGAAGGTACATGAATCAGTTATAAATATGGAAAGGGATTCAGCATTAACCCTGATTATGCGTGATAACCTATTATTACCATAACCGTTACGAGTAGATTTAGTAACGGGCAATTAATGCAATTAATGTTAGTAACGGGTAAAAATTAAGTAAGGGAACTGTTATAGCTGTGTATCCTTATATAAGGACCCTTACCTTATTTTGTACAATCATCTGAATATTCTCAATTATATGCAATCCGTTTTTTACTTTTACTTGATTGGAGATTCCAATCCATAATTCTGGGAGAAATCAGCGATCAACAATAAGTTTTCTTTCCTTCATTTATCATTTCAATTATTTATTTTATTCTCGTATTTTTGGAAAAGTGAAGTAAATCAAGTTAGTATAAACCCGATTCTCTTTAACCACAGAAACTATTTTTGGGTTAAACAAATTGGTTCCATTACCGAGAATTTGAAAATCTGTTCACTTTTTAAATTTTATTTTTAGCAACAAAACATGTCTACTACTAACAAAATTGATTATGTGGGTGAGAGATGACAACAAGGTGGAACTCCACCACACCGCACACCCACAAGGACTTCGCAACGCTCACAAGAAAGTTCACCTGAAAGGTGTGCTACTTGAAATGATGGGCAAAAAATAGGCAAGCAGGCCAACGAGCAAGATAATTTGAAGCAAATGGTTGCACAACACGTTACTGAAGCTTTGCATGCTTTTACAAGTGGGTTGCCCAATATTGTGCAGACTCCTCCATTAGTAAATACAACTCTAGAAAACCAACGTTCAGGACTTGACAACTCAAGAAGTGGAAAATACTAAATGAATCCAGAGACGGAGGACCAGGTACACCAAATGATTCAAATTTACAAAGTTTGGTACTAACCTTGCAGAAACAACTTAAAGAACAAAATGAGCGAATAGAACAGATACCTGGTGCGCCGTCGTTAATCAAAAGAGTGGATATCGACAAATATTTGCAACAACCCTGGAAGCCAAGTGTAGTACCTTTACCAATTCCCAAAAAGTCCAAGATGCCTGATATCCCTAAATATGATGGGACCTCTGACCCACGAGGCCACGTTATCGCATTACCACAGGGGTTAAAGGCAGTGATTTTACCAAGCAGGAAATTGAATCAGTCTTGGTGAAAACATTTGGTGAAACCCTCAAGAAAAGAGCATTAACATGGTACTCATTCTTACCTGAAAAAATTTTATTGATTCTTTTCCTGAGCTTGCAGATTTATTTATAAAAGCACATTCGGTAGCCCAAAAAGTAGAAAAGAGGAGGGAAGATATCTTCAGAGTACAACAATCACGGAATTACTCAGGGAATTCGTGGATAGACTCCAGCGGGAAAGGATGATGTTGCCATGAGTACCTGCTAACTGGGCGGCTATGGCATTGCAAGTAATTTGAATGAAAAAAGTTCAGAAGCCACGAGAAGATTGAAAAAAAATCTACAGGATTGTCCTACAACTACTTGGAATGACGTGTACAACAGATATAGTACGAAGTTATGAATAGAAGAAGATACGGTTACCCAGCCAAAGGTAGAAGAAAGGCACGGATCTAGACATTCAGAAACGGAAAAGTGGTCTGGTAAGAACATGTACAAGCCGTATGAAAAGTTGAAAATTTAATGAAAACGTACGAAGGTTTGAAAGAACAAGTTTGGAGGCTGAAGAAAAGAGTATGAAGATTTGAAGGTAGGATGAAGATCTGGGTAAGAACCTAAGAACAATTATGAAGATATGAAGATCAAAGATGAAGATATGAAGGTTTGTAAGAGTTGATAACCGCTAGAAAATTCGAAGGTGGAAGCTTGGATCGGAAAGTAAGAAAAATACAAAAGGTAGAAACTTTTATAGGGGAAGTACGTGACGTTTCACATTAGAAGGCAAACAGCCGATGAGCGACACGTGTCCAAAGTCAGAATGACTCGATTGATGGAACGTTTCGGCCTATCCGCCATCTTGGTTGTGACGCACGAAGGAAGGAACCGGGGTTCATCTATCGTCTCCCATCGTTTCGGCAAGCCTACTCTTTGGGAAACAAGGGGACTATGGGTAGCATATACCCTGATTTTCCGATGGGTCAAACGAAACCAGGATGTGACCGCATGGGATCGGATTCGGAGGTGGAGACCTCTCGTATCGGGGCCCAAACAGTGTGCCCGAGAAGACAACACTTCCCCGTACCCGAAATGAGCTCCGAGACCCCGAAAAATATGACAACGGTTGCACCCGACTAACAGAGGGCCGCGATATCCGCACCCCATCGGATATCACGGCGCAGACCTCAGCCTATATCGACAGCAGATCGGTGATTAACGAAAAAGAAGATTTTTACCTTTTTTAGAATTGTACTAAGGGTGAAACTCTCCTACTATATAAAAGGGGTAGTTTTTATTCAATCGACACACTGTAACACGCATATCAAGGCAATACGAACTTGTTTTTCTATTTTCTAATTATTGAACGGTTCTTATTTTAATCATAGCTCTTCATACACGTTTGGCTCCGAATCGAGGTCAGAACAATTGTTAGGCTTAGATCCGAGCCTGGGCTCAACATCACAACTGGTTTGGTTGTTTATTCTATCTGTAATTTGCTTATCTAACATCCTTAATTACTTGTATTGAATCAATTCACATATCCTTAAAAATGCGTATAAATTTAATTGTTATGAGTTTCAAGGGTAAACAATACCAAAATTGATGGATTTCGAGCAACTAGAATAGATATGAAGAATCTGATGGAAAGATTCTATTCAAGGGGATAACTGCTATCCATATACTAAGAAATACTACGAAAAATGACGTGGTCTGTTGTCACAATTCTGCATTGTTCTTCTTATGTGATGTGTTATGCGGACTTATGCCCGTCAACGTATTGCAAAAAGCTTAAATCTTCAAAATTTTCTTGGAAGCTCTGAAATTGAAGAAGAAGATTTTGAACAAGACCAAGTGGAATGGAGAAGTTCAGTTTCTGATTTATTTGCTGAATTTAAGTTTGCCCCAGAAATTTTAAAATTTCAAAAGAAACCCCAACCAAAATTATTTTTAATTTTAATAAAAACAAATGTTCTTGGGCCAAAAATAAATTAAAAATAAACAAGGGTCTAAACTTTTAAATAAAGAGGAATTTTCATAAAGCACTTTAGTTTAGAGCGTAATAACTATAGTTGCCAATTTATCATTCGCACAACGAATACAATATATATTCAACTGTATTCGTTCACGCAACGAATATAACATGTATCAATTGTAACTAATGCGAAATACAAGGGTGTATACAAAGGATACAACCCGTATCGACTGTATACAAAGGTGTATACAAAGGAAACAACTTGTATCGACTGTATTCGTTAACACGGCAAATATAACCGAGGCGAAACACATAAATACGGAAAAATAAAATGCTCTCGTTGAGAGTCGTCGAACTCAGACCTCCGCTAACTAAGCGAGCGCTCTAACCAATTGAGCTATGAGAGCTTGTTGCTCTCTTATTTCGGTTCAAGACAATTAATCTCTTGTTTCATAGATTTACTATAAAATTCAAATATAGCTACAAATGGTAAATTTGCTGTAAGTATAGTTATGAAGGGCTTTATATCTCTAGTCACACTCATCTTGATTCTTTCCCACAGGTCACGTTGCTATCATCAACTGCAACATAAATCAACTCTATCATTTAAATTTTAAATACTTGAAGAATTTTAAAGCTAAGCTTTGCCATAATCCCATGCACAATGTTTTTAGTAACAGAACAAAGTAAACGAAGAGATGAAAGCATGGTACACAGGAACTGAATACAGTTTACACAAAGGATTATCTCAATACCTTTGATTTCCACAATCCATCTTTGTCACTTGATAAGGTCTCAACCACCTCAAAATTTGATGCTTGAATAGCAATTTCTCTAAATTTTGAAAAACCACCTAATGCATTTTTTTTTCTTTCTGTTTAACAAAAACATATAGGGAGAGGAAACTAGATGATATCGTCTGTATACTTAAGAATTGGTTGTAACCCCATGAAAAATAATAATAATGTCTTTCATGGGGTAAGACCATTGTCTACAATTTTTAGGAAAAATTTTATTTTGTGCCTCACACAACTGACACTTGTTGGGTGAGACCTCTTTTTGGTCTTACAACTGTGTGGGTCCCAGAATTTTGTGGACCCAGATGTGTAAGATATGGGTCCACAAATATGTGAGATAAAAAGAGCCCTCACACAACTAGTGTCAGTTATGTGAAGCACAAAGTGTCCTGACAATAATTAAACCCAGCAACAGAAGTGAACCATTCACTAAATCCATTACAATTCCAAATGCATATATGTAAATTCCATACAGTCATCAGCTTTATCGACTGGAAACTGATATATCAAAAAAAAAAACATAAGTATCTACATTTACATCAAAAGATAGTAGGGATATTGGACGTTAGTGTCAAAAAGACAATGTGGTCTTCTTCGTTGACCAGCTTCAGTGTTGCAACCTGCCAAAAAAGAAACTAATTCAGGTACTCTTGATAGTGTGTGCAATTATACAGTTTCTGTTTTTCTTTGGAGCACATGTCACATGCTCCCTCCGGTCCAAAATAAGTGATTTTTTGAATGTTTTCACACATATTAAGAAATCCACCTTTTAGCACTAATTAGCAATGGAATTGACCATATTAACCTTTACTATCTCACATAAACACTCCTAACACATATTCCAACACTATTTACTCCAAGGACAATGTAGGAAAAAAATAATTAATTCATTGGAAAAATCACTTATTTTGGACCACAAGAAAAAGGCCAAAAAATCACTTATTTTGGACCGGAGGGAGTATTATTTAACCGTATTCACAAGAAAGATTTGGTAGAGCATTGCCACCAACTTGCCGATCCCATTAGTTCACCTGCATATTTAATTTAAAATGCCCTAATACCCCTCAAATAAGTCAACCTTACAACTCGCAGAGAAGTCAACCATCTTGGCCTGGATTGCATAGTCAACCTTACAACTCGCATAGAGAAGTCAAATTTAATATGCTCCAATGGAAAAACATAATCCTCTTTGGATTAAAATAAGAAAACTACAAAGGTATATATATATCCATATCCAACCCAAAAGGTTTAGAAGTATAAGTTGCATACTGATAACTCAAAAGAAGACAGCCCGAGGATGAGGTCATTGATGGAAAAGAAACATAATAGGAAGCTGGATGAGGAAAATTGGAAACTCCAATTGAGGAAAGACCTACTTATATCTTGTAGTTGAAAAAGCTCAATTTTGTTATGCGACTATTTGATGGTTTTCATCAATATTTCTTTTTTATCTTCTGTACATCACAAGCAGACTGATTTTAAGAGAAAACTCATGAGAGAGAGAGAGAGAGAGCGAACAGCCAACAGCCAACTTAAAATGCAACAAAATTCTTTTAACAATATTGAAGAGAACAAACAAAGATAAAGAAAGTAACAAAAGTGAGGCAATTTAATTAGTACACTTCAGTGTGGAAAGCTACTTTCAGTTCTTCAGGTTAAGCAAAGAAAATTATATGGTTAGACTCTTCAGTTGCACTTAGACTACTAAAGTTTAAGTAACTTCAATTCATTACATAACCTGTGTGATTATTTTTTCAACCCATCCTTGCCAAAATAAGTTTCTTATATACTTAAGTTCCTTGTCAATCACAATTTCGAAGACTAAGTTGCACACTTACAGAAGCGCGGAGTAAATAGTAACTTACACCATCGAGCAAAAGGTAAAATGGAAATACACCAAAACAATTTCATAAGTGAAATGAAGAGATAATACCAGGAATCAAATGCTGCTTTGTTTAAGTTCGAGAAAATCAATGCCACCATTAAACTCTAAAATCATATTAAGGAACATCCTGCTTTTTTTTTATAGAGGGTATAGAAGGTACCTTGACCATCTGAATCTTCACTTCATTCACTGCTCAAAGCTTCAACTTGAACCCCTTTGAAAGGAAATCATCTCCCCTATCAAGTGAAGGATAAAATAGAAAATTTAGCAAAGAAAGGAAGCAGATACAAAACATAAGTTGTATAAGCAATCTCCACATAGAAAATAATATGGACTCTGCACTACTTCACCTAAATGTTAACAATAGTGCCCTGTTGTTGAAACGACTGATCTTAAAAGCTCTACGTAAAAGAAAGAAGGCTACAACATAACCACAAATTAACGGAATCACCAACCTCTTCTTTAGGGCTATCTTGTTTCCTCCCATATCTTGATTTAACTGTTTCTTTAGATCACTTGTGCCATCATTGGAACTAAGCTTAACGAGGCTTCCCAAATAAATATAACTATTGAAATGTAGAAAGCCACGTAAATTCCCAATTTCAGTATCAACAATCTTTATGGAGTCCCCCTCAATACTAGTTCCACAAGAACTTCCTTTCCACTCTTAGAATTTGCAAGTGGGAGCACAGTATGACCAACATACTTATCTGGCTGTTCAAGTGATATAAGCATTGCCCACGAATCCCTAATTCCATATTCCTTCATCACCCATATGTCCACATGGTCCAAAACAAGATCCCCATTTTCCCAATCATCTATAAAGTAGGTTTTATATGTGCAAAGAGAGCCTCCCAATACGACCAACCTCACAATGAAACCCGTATCAGTATAAGGGGGACGCGGTACGAGTCCCCATTTCAGTTCCAAGATCAAAAGCAACAATCAGTGGTTCTAATTTATTCGCAGGTCTTTCCATCTTAGCACTAGCAATCCAATGCAATGAACCATTTAGATACGTACCTGGTTGATCTTCATATCGGAGGTAATAAGGAAGTTCTTCTTCAACCCGTCTCCAACAACTTGATCTCAAACTGAAAACCATAACATCAGAGTGAAAAGAACCTTTTTCAGAGCCCTTTTCAAACTGCACAATTCTAACAACCTTATAGTCATCATTAGTAACATCATACCCAAAACCAAAATTAACATGCACATGGTTTTCAGTAATCCCCACAACTGGTATCTTCTTGTATTTTCCAGTTGAAGGGTTCCATAAGGCAATTTCATCCACAGTATTTGATATCAACAACAATCCATTGCAAGAACCAAGTATCTTGGTGTTAATTTCAGAAGACATCAAAGGGTTAGTCAATTCTTTGGGAGTAACAACTCGGGAGTTGAGAGAATCAAAGTCTAGAGAGTAAAAGCAACGTTTTCCATATCCAAAATAGTCGACCTTTCTCAACATCAACCGAAGGTTAGAATTGGTTTTCACTGAATAATTGACATGCAATTTTGCAAACTCTGCACTATCAATAAGAGCCCGCCAAGATCTTGATACGCACCTACAACGTAACGCACAATCAACGGGTAGTCGACAGAGGATTTCGGCCAGAACATCCAATGGAAAGGTTGACATTGTTTTGGACAGAGTAGCGGGAAAGGCAATTTTGGACTGGCTTATGAACCTAAACGACCTGACGATTGGGATATAGGAGGAGAGTACTAAGAATAAGGCGGTGTCTTCTAGATGACCCTTTTCTGAATATGAATATATTATTTATATCACTAAATTTCTTCGCAACACTTGCTCTCGTGATTAAAATATTAGAAAGGAATTAATATATATATATATATATATATATATATATATATATATATATATATATATATATATATATATATATATATATATATTCACACTAACGAAAATAGTAAAATGCGATATAAGACCCAAAGCACAGGGACTTTTGGTAACACAAATTTTCATATTTTATTGTATAAAATATAACATTACTTTTGAAATTCTAACTTAAATTTATAATAAATCTTTTTTTTTTAGAAAAACAATAAGTAGACTTATTGGTAGCACAAAAATGCGTAGGCAACATATTTTGGTAATTCTTAGCGCATTACATTTAAGAAAAAAATCACTAATTTATTTAAACCTCATCGATGTAACGAACCGACCAGTCATTTTGAGTGTTGTGGTCTTGTTTCTTCCCATTTACTGCTTATTATATGCTCAATTATTATTATGTGACTTGTCGGGGTAGTTGGTTTGTATTCGGGGATGTTTCGAGATGAGTTGAGACACTTAGTCTCAAGGTTGGAAGCTTAAGTTGAAAAGGTTGACCGCATGTTGACTTATGTCTTTTAAACGACTCCGTAATGGAGTATTGATGGTTATGATAGCTCCGTTGGATGATTTTGGACTTAGGAGTGTGTCTGGATAGTGATTTGGAGGTCCGTATTTGATTTTGACTTGAAATGGCGAAAGTTAAAAAATTAGAAGTTTTAGAAATTGAGAAGTTTGATCGAGAGTTGGCTTTGTGATTACCGGGCTCGGATTTTGGTTCCGGAAGTTGAAATAGGTCCGTTGTATCATTTATGACTTGTGTGCAAAATTTGAGATCAATTGAAGTTAGTTTGATAGGTTTCAACATCGAATATAGAAGTTAGAAATGCATAAGTTCGTTAGGCTTGAATCGATGCACGATTCGTGGTTTTAACGTTGTTGATGTGATTTAACGCTTCAAGCGAGTTCGTATGATATTTTAGGACTTGTTGGTATGTTTGGTTGAGGTCCCAGGGGCCTCGGGTGGAGTTCGGATGCTTATCGAAGTGGAATTTGACTTGGAGAAATGGCTAAAGTCTGTTGTAGTTTTCTAGTGTTCAGGTTTGGTTTTCTAATACGCGATCGCGTGGAAAGGTCCGTGATCGTGTAGGCTTATTCGGGAAGCTGAGATTTTTGTTCTACACGTTCGCGAGTTAAGGTCTGCGATCGCGTAGGTTAGTGAGGCTGTGAATTGCGAACGCATGGCTGAGGTCGCATTCGCATTAAGGAAAGGCAAGGATGGGGTTCACGCTCAATGTTCATCGCGAACGCGTGAGGTAGTTCACGATCGCGTAGGTATGAGGAAGCAGTGTATCTCGTTCGCGTGGCTGTTTGCGTGTTCACGTAGATTAAAGTTTTGGGCGGTTGAACTTGTGCTTTGCGATCGCGAATCATTTTACGCGATCGCGAAGAAGGTACTTATGGGCATTTAAAGTCTAAAAAATGAGGGTTTAAGTTTATTTCACATTTGATTTTGGGAGCTCGGATTGAGGGAATTCTTGGAGAGATTTTCAAATGAGTGATTGGGGTAAGTGATTCTAACTTGGTTTTGGTTAAATTACATGAATATATCATTGATTTCATCATTTAATTAGTGATTTGGGTTGAAACTTTTGGGGAAAATGGAGAAAACTTCTTAGGCAGAATTTTGAGGATTTGAGCTGGATTTTGGTATCGGATTTGAGTAATTTTGGTATGATTAGACTCGTGGTTGAATGGGTGTTCGGATTTTGTAACTTTTATCGGATTCCGAGACGTGGGCCCGGGGGTTGACTTTTGAGTTGACTTTTTGACTTTTGATTTAGAACTTGGTATTTTCATATGGAATTGATTCATGTAGCTTGAGTTGATTGTATCATATTGTTTTTGCCTAGATTTGAGGCATTCAGAGGCGATTCGTGAGGCAAGGGCTTGTCGGAGTAGAGATTTGCACGGTTTGAGGTTAGTAACACTTTTAAACTTGGTTCTGAGAGTATGAATCCCTAAAATTCCGTGCTATGTGATTGGTGTTGAGGTGACGAGCATGCTAGGTGACGGGCGTGTGGGCGTGCACCGTAGTAATTGTGATTCAGTCAATTTCGTGGAACTGTGTAGCTATCTTATCTGAATATTATTACTGTACCCTATGTGTTAGAGAACTTGTGTCACGACCCAAACCGATGGGCTACAACAGGCACCCGGTGTCTTACACAACCGAGTACCAATGCAACGTATCTTTCTTATCATACCATCATGGGTAAATGAGCTGGAAGGGTCGTCGTGATATAACCAGAATAAAATATAAGGGAATACTCGACATAGGACGACCCAACATGTGATACAAACTTATACATGTGACATACGTGCCTATAAGACCAAAATGATCACTCGTACACTAAACATAGGCCGACAAGGTCATACAATCTTTCATATACATGACATCTATCTACAAGCCTCTAAGAGTACATAAACGTCATAAAGGTCGAAACAGGGCCCCGCCATACCAATAAATACATGTCCAAAGCATATTGACCAAATAAGTAACTCCGCAGCAAATGGAGTGTACCAACACCTTCCGCTGAGCTGATAGCCTACTAGGATGTCTATCAACCAGTCTATCGGGACTTGCAGGCATGAAACGCATTGTCCCCAGGCAAAAGGAACATCAGTACAAATAAAGTACCGAGTATGTAAGGCATGAAAAGCAGTATAAAAAGACATGAAAGAAACATGGAGTAAAGGACTCAACCTGTAAGTCTGAATAGCTCTGTGAATCATGAAACACTTATAATTTCATGCATGTGCGTATAAATATCAGATCATGCATAGGTATATACATACATAATGTCATCAAGCCTCTGAGGGCATCCCATTATATCATCTCGTCTTTTATGGGTGAAACCATCAATGTATACCAACTGATCAGGTGGTGTTGCGTATATAACGCCATAACCTTTCTCATACCCCATATACATACACTGTTAGCTTATATGAGTCCACCAAACTATAGAGTACCTGGTCCTATATGAGATGATGCCTAGAATGCAGTAATGACTGAAGGTAAAGAAGGCAGGAGATTTTCTACGTGGAAAAATCCCACACAAGGGGATCAAAAAACCAGGACCTACTCTTGTAGGCTTTTAACTCAACTAACTTGTAATCTGCCTATTACAAGCCACTTTTCAAAAACCTTATTGCAAAGACTTCAAACTAACTTTCAATACAACCACCACAAGCCACTTTGCAAAAATCCTATTGCAAAGACTTCAAACTAACTTGTGATGCCACCACCACAAGCCACCATATAACTATCCTAGTTACAAAGGCTTTAAACTTATGACTATCCCTAGTCACAACATAAACTCAGAAGTTTACGAATTTTGGTTTGTTCCTAAGACAACGCTTCTAAGAAAGCAAACTAGGAAATACAATAAAGAGCAAAACAACAAGATTATAACTCAACTATGGATGTACATAAACTCATTAAGAAACTGATCCTTAGTGGAGTTGTCTTCTTGTTCTTGACACATCAGTGACTTCAATGCTAGATGAACGTTGTTATGCTTGAGAGGATATCACCGAATGCACAAAAATGGTGTGTCTTGCACCGGGTTGTTTTATCACGAAAGATAGCACAATAGATAGTGATGTCAACTCATGGTGTACACTTCTTCCCAATGAGAAGTGACTGTTGTACAGTCTGCACAGCCACTTCTGGGCAGTTGCGTTCCAGCTGGATAGTGGACTTTGTACTTCCTATCAGTACGCACCAACAGACCAGGTCCTAGTTGTGTTCCTCTTCTGTGACAGTTGCTAGATGGTCACTTTCTTCTGCTACGTTACAGCTATGTACTTGACTTGTACTTCTGTCAGAGAACCTAAGGGAGCAGGTCTCTGTTGTGTTCCTCTTTATATTGATTGCGTACAGTCACTGACTTGCTTGTGTCGAAGAACCCTAAGGGACCAGGTCACGAGGTCCATGTTGTGTTCCTTCCTTTGCTGATTTTCAGACTTCGACCAGTTCACATGAAATGTATATCCTGTGGGCCAGGTGCTCTATCTGGTTCTTCACGAAAAGTTTGTTAGATCATCAAAACATAAGAAGCATAAGGCGAAGACATTGAAAACCCATCAATTTCCCTCTTTTTGATGATGACAAACTTAGGCATGGACAGTGTTTGTTTAGAACAAAAATAACCAGATGAGATGCCAGAACTACACGAAGTTCCCCCTTAATCTCAGATCTCCCTCTTTGATAGTTCCCCCTTAATCTCAGACTTGATTTGCCCTTACCTACACACACAAGCATATTACCCCTTACCCGCATTCACACTTCTTTTCCCCATTTTGGCATCATTAAAAAGAATAGGGATTAAGAAGAGCACAAGCAGGTAATAAGCATAAAGAAGTCTAACACAGCTATCTCATGCCACATATGTGCACACAACATGACAGAAAAGATAAGCCAGAGGAACACAGTATTGTACAAGCAACGAAAGGGATGCTGTTTCATCAACGTTTACATTGGACTGAGCAATTCAGGAGCAATAATGGTTAAGTGCAACATGCCATCACAAAAAAACATGCAAACAAAAGTAAAACAACAGCCACAGGATGTTGGAGCAAAAATAGCTGGACACAAAGAGGATCCTAGGGGACACTAAGGAAGGAGGCTTGGAGGAAGAGACAGCAATGGTTTTGAGAACCAGGTCCAGTCTAGCATTTGCAGACAGTTGTTCTTCAAGTAATTGAGCCCGAAGTCTCTCATTTTCTTTTGTCAGTTGTGTAACCTCCTCACTTACAGAATCAGGTCCTTTAGCTGCTTGACTGAGCTGAGTTTCCAGAATGGCATTTCGAGCCCTCAGCCTTCTTATTTCCTCAGAAGCTACATTTTGAGCGTTAATCAGCTGAGAAATGGTC